AAATATATCATCCCGTGCATCGCACGGGTTGCGACTGTTCTTATGCAAAAAAACGTGTCAATTAGTTATGAAAACAAATTTAAATACCAATTAATTTAAAAACCATACAAATTAATACAAATTTAGGAAATAAATAGTTGTATAATTCTTAAAAAAGTCTTCCAACCTTTTTTAATATGTTTTTGTTTTAAAAAAGAGTGCTAATTGGATAAAACCACATGCAGTTTTTAAATTTCTACAAAAAAAAAAAAAAAGGAGATTTGGGCGGGATATCCATTTAAAATTGTACCCACATTTTTTGGTAATAAAATCGATTCATCTTTGATATTTAAAGTCAAAAAATTTATCCAATTATTTAAGAAAAAAATTCAAATTAATTTAAATGTCGTGTGCAACTTTTTAAAATTTGAACGCATCGATTTTTTTTTTCTTTTGGATTCTTATATTTATTTTCTACCTATGTTTTACCAATATTTTGGTAAGTCATATCAATTTTTTTTGTTAAGTTCATATCAATTTTCTTGGGGAAGAAATAGTTGCATAACAAAATATTCTATTTTTTATTAGAATAGATTTGAATTCAGTTTGTGTGGTAAAAAAAAAAAAAATGGTGCAATGTTAGGAAAAATTGGTTGCATTTTTAAGAAAAAATTGATGATTCTTTTCAACTTGTTAACCAAATATATTCGAATATTTGTTTGATAGAAAAAAAAGCGGTTTATTGGTAGAAAAAATTTTGGTTTCATTATTAGAAAAAACTAATGATTTTTTTTTTTCAATTTTTCTTAATCAAAATGTTGAACTAGATTTAAATAAGTAAATAAAATAACGTAAAAATGCCTAAAAACTACTTTTTTCTACTAGAATTTTGTTTAATAAATAAGTATCTCTTAATTTCTTTAAAAATATAATTTGTTAACTAATAAGTAATAACTATTCGAACACCCATGTAGTACTTTACATCCCAAACAATCAAACTAAGAATGTTGTATATAAGGAAATGTTCAACAATATATACATTTTATTTTCATGATATTTTTAATGTCATGAGAAAATTTAAAAACAAAAATGCTTTTTTAAAAAATAAGTAGGTAATAAATACTCCCGTGCATCGCACGGATACTGTACTAGTTACCCTTAAGAAAAAGAAACGTAACTTTTGGATATTTGTTGCATTTTTATTATTTCTTTGGGATATTTTAATATTGTGATATTATAATCCATTTTTGTTTTTTCATGGTTGTATTTTCATTACGTATGGTGGATATTTGTGTTGTGAAATCGAGAAAAATTAAAAAAGTTAGTACGATGCTGACACATATTCACTATTTTTTTTGGATGCACATAGAACACTTTTTTTACAGACTAGAAATGCATCGACAAATTGAGGTTCAATTTCAGTGTAAAAGAGGAATATAATGTACCATAGTCGGAGATATTATATTTTTTTGGGAGATGTGACGGAGACGCTACCGGTGCTTTCGGTAGTGTCTTGAGGTGGCAGATTGGTCTTTGGTTCACCGTCGGCTTCACCTGATGTCGCCGGATGATTTCATCGTGGAGAGAGATCCATAAGATGCAGAGGTGATTAATGGAATTTATGGAGGAAAATTTTGGAGTTGAGCATGTACGGTAGCAGAGTACAGCTAATTGGATTTGGAATGTGGAAAAACAAGTAAGAAAAAAAAAAGAGCAGGCTAATGAATGTGTGCAGGTGGTGTTGGTGCCTATGGGGTGTGAGGAAGACGGATGTAACACCCCGAACTATTTTATTATAAATTAACTCGACTTTAGCTCTATAAATAGCAAATTTTATTTATTTCGAGTTCTAATTATTTTTCTAGCATTTATATTGATTTATAAATTCTAAGTCAAAGCCATGAGGATCCGTTTGATTTTAGTTTTGAAAATCGAATTTATTTAGCCTAAGTATCGGTTTATTTTCCTTAAGAAGTGGTCGTGAACTTGGACATTTTATTTTCCCGTATCGAGTGTTAGAAAGATCGGGAAAAAAAATTGATTTGGGCCGAAGCCCGGTCGAGCCGAGACCTCGGCCCAAACACGCGCACCTCACGGCCCAAGGCCCATGGCGTCGTGGCCCATCATTCCCGTACGACCCAACTGCCAACCGATGGCCGGCCCATCACCATGGCCCACTCGGCCCTTTGGCCAAGCCCAACATAAACTCGAGCCCGACATGCATGCCAAGCCAACTCCATGTTAAATGAGGCTCAAATTTTATCTAGGCCATTTTATTTACTTTGGCCCAAAACAAAAATATTAGGACTTTGACCAAAGTCTACCAAATTCAAATTCAAGACCATGCATTTAATGTCTACCTACTATAAGTGTACAATGGGGAACAAGCTTATGATAAATTTAAATGATCCCAACTATCATGTCCCCCATAACCCTAATTTCATGTGTGTATATATAAGACCCTCATCCACATTTTATCATTTTTTTTCCCAACACTCAAGAAACCTCCTAGGCTCTTGAAATGTCCTAAATCATAAAAAATCCCTAAGCTCTTGAAATATTTCTAAGTCCGAAAATCTCCTAAGCCCACCATATAAAAATCCAACGGAGCACACTCGAACCCTAGTTCCTCACGTCCGATCTCGAGCCTTGCACTGTTGCATGCCCTAGGTCCCTGTGCAGTAGCCACGCCCAGGTCCCATCTCCCTCATGACCACTGCAGCTCAGCCCCAGATCCGCACAAGGCAAGCCCGTGCCAAGTCCCTCAAGCCACCTTCATCTTTCTTTTTACGTTTTTGAGTCCCTCAAGAGGTAGATCTATAAATCATCTCTTCTATGGCTTATATATGAATTATAAAGTATTTTAAGAATATTACATCAATAAAAATGGTGTGAGAATGAGAGATCTAAAATTCGTACCTTGAGATATGCATGTCTAAAATCACGATTTAAATTCCATAAATTGTAGAATATTGCGTAGATGTTGTAGTTTAAATTTCAGAATTTTTGAATCTCAATTGCTATGTGAACTAGAATTTTAAATCTAGACCCAAAATGGATATTTTATGTTGAAAAAGTTATAGATTTGATATTGCTGCGATATTTTGCGCAAAAATCTTAAATATCATGTTGAGGGTGTGTTTAAACTTTGAGGATTTTTGGAATTCGTTTGATATGGTTTCAAAAATCCAGTTTTTAGTCTAAATTGGTGAAATTTTAGAGGTTTTATATGAGGGGTTTTTTTTGTTGAGCTTGATAGATCTAAAATCTTCATAAATTATATTGAATTTATGATTAAAGTATTGGCTTGAAATAGAGTTAGGTGTTTGTCCCATTTTTATTGTGTTTTTCTTTATTATTTTATCTTTCTTTTTCCCCCCGTTTTCTTTTCGTTAGTTTTATTCGTTTTTAGTATTTATTGTGTGTTTCGCGCTATTTCGGTTTTCTGTGTGTTTTCCGTATATTATTCCGGTTTTTCTTTGTTTATGGTGTGTAGGTCGGAAGTCTCAGGAGAACCGGATTGCAGGCGAAAATTATTCGGGCATGCATAATTAGGTAGAGTAGTTCGTTGGCGATGTACATGAAAAAGCGGAATCGAATTCTGATACCA